GGATGAAGAGCATGTAAGGCTAGTTAACATGGTGTAGTAGAGAAATGGGACAGGTTAGAGGGAATTTAACACTACTGGAGCACTGATGATTTATGAGGACGCAAATTGGCTGTAGCTCCTGAGCAAGGGCACAGGTGAGGTATCACCATAAATCCTCTGCCCTTTTGCCTGAGAGAGAGAAGGGTGGCCATGGTCCAGCCTTCTGTATGTCCAGCCATGCACTCAAATATCACCCCAGGTTTAAACCTCTAGATTATTAAGGGATTAAGAAAAGACTTTATAAACGCACATGGACTACGGACAAGATTTCTGCTCTGAGGACAGACATGTGCAGAAGGATGAGAAAAGGGTACTCAGATACCACAGAGAAGAGTGATTTCAACAGATGTCTGGAAGGCACTAGGAGGACAGGAGGGATGGTTTAGGCTATAAAGATGCCAGACAGATGGAGAGAGAGTAATGAACAAAAAGCTGCAAAGGGCTACCTATATCACTGCGTACACTCCTAGCAAACAGATGATTATCACAAAGGTTTTGTCCAAATGAGTCCACAGAACTTCTCCCAGCTTTCACAACGAAGTAGACTCATCCAAAAGCACATCCAAGTGACATCCCAGAAGCATGAAAACAGGTAGAAATGGGAGAAGGAAAAAGGAGAAAAACAAAGACAATGAGTGGAGGGATAGGAGCGCAGGCATCCCCTCCTCCAGCAGCTCCTGGACAGCTCATTTCAAAACCATATTGCATTTGCAAGTGACTATCGCAGCCAAACACACTCTCTGACATCCTCTAAGGGCTGTTTTCAGAGGAAGACAGGCTTTCCTCTGCTCGCCATGCACTAGATGAAACTGTCTGACACACTTCGCAAGTGCAAATTAGAACCACGCTACTTACCATCAACCCCTCTTGCAAATTCATATTTGCAAAGAGAGAGTAAACTAGAAACCCCAGGTGCTGATAACGCAGAGTTGTTAAGAGAAACTAGAGTAGGAAGGAGTTAAATTCAGAACCTCATCTACCACAAGCATTATAATACAAAATCTTTTTTTTTAATGGGGAAAGCACAAGAGCCTTGTTTAAACACAGATGGAAGTACCTAAATGTACTGCCTCTTCTACAAATGAATTATCCAGCAGTTCAAATAAAGGTGAACCAATACCGACAAAATCAAGTAAAACTCAATCGATGTGGGAGGAAAAAACCCCCAAAACATTTCTCCTAAAAAAAGTTACCATGTGTAACCATGAAGGGAATCATTTTGCTTGGTAACTCCTGCCCTGTCTTCTTAAGTGCAGTGAAAGTTTATAAACATTTGCAAGACTTTCTTGTACCAACCTCATACGAGAAATCTATGGTGTTGTGATAAACCTGTGCTGTCCTAGGGGTCTGACTGTCAGAGCTGGGAATCTGGATTCAAAGCTACCCTGGTGGGGAAACCCGAAATCCTGAGTATCTGGGTGATTCTTCATTCTGTAGAAATTATTTACATAGATCTTAAATTAAATTCAATTTACACCTACAACTAAAAAGTCATCACATTGGTACTAGGGATAAAACCTGTTGTTCTACAGAAATTAGCCTCCTATAATTCTATACCATCTGTTGGGGTTGAATCTTAAAAAGAGTGCAGAATAACTATAGTCTACAGCAGGAGCATGATTGTATATGGTCAGCTGGAACCCTTACGAAAAGAACTTCATTCTCCTTTTATTTTCTGCATTTGTAGTGTATTTTCTATAGAATCCCTTCAGTTATTCAGTTTCACAGACCGGATCAAAAATGCCAACACAAAGTTTATCACATTCTATTCAATTCTCCAGGCATTTTTCGTAAAGGTACAGTTGAATAGTTTTAGCCCTTTAGCTGTCAAATTATCACATATAAAGACACATTACTCCAGCTCAGTGGTTTTCAACCTTTACGCTCAGCAGCCCCTAAATGTTTTCCAGGAGAGACGAGCTCCTTTATGGAGAGAGTTAATCGGCTGACAATAAACATGTTTTTTTAAGTTACCTTTCACTGCATTCTTCTTAGTTACCTTAGGAGCGATCCACGGACCCCCAGGGTTTGCAGAGCACAGGTTCAGAATGACAGCTCTAGCTGGGGCTGCCTTTTTCGAGCATTTCAGGCACTATTTACTCTAGGAGAAGAATAAAACAACCCTTCCTCCTCGAAAGACTGAAACCTGGAAACTACCGGCGGGCTGAACCCAGGATGGAGCGTTCTCAGGGGGCTGCCAGTTCACAGTGCCGGCACAGCATCTCTCTTCCTAACTCAGCCGCTCTTCTGCATGGTCCACCGGCACAAGCTGGACTGAAACACCGGGCCAGCTCAGGCATGTGCTAGCTGAAATTTTTTTAAGTATCGCTCAGTGGTGGTGGCTGTTGGAGGCCTGGGTGGGAAAGGCAGCAAAGGGTGGAAAATTAACTTGGCTTCTCCTGACGCCACGGATTGGCATTCACCTTGGCTAGCTGAAGGTGCGTAAAGCTCTCTCTGCGAAATGCATCTCCACGGGGTCATTTATCCCATTCTAATATTGAAGCCTAAACCAGGGGAGATGAATCATCCACTGGGGGAATCTACTTCACTCCACTGACTGTAAAAGAACCATAAAAACAGCCAAGACAAGTCACTGAATGTTTAGACAGCACAAGTTAGTGGAGACAAATTCCACAATAAGCAGGTAATTTTGACGTGACTGTAAGAAGCACAGATACCTCTTCCCTGCATTAAGTGCACTGCCACTCAAGCTCAGCTCGTGCTGCGCACCGAGGGGATTTCTGAGTGCCAGCAGCTCAGATGATCAGCCAGGACCCTGCTACACCATTGGGATGACGCAAGACCGAGAGGCTGGGCTGCAAAGGCATTATATGAAGGGGGATGTCATGGGTGGGCCACCCTTTACCACCTCCTTTTCCACTTTTTCTGCAGCTGCTGCCTTGCCAGGAGCAGTGGCTGGGCTGAGCCTCCCTCCTGCCTGAGGGAGCAGACAGCTCCCCCTCAATTTGGGCGGGATAGGCCCAGAGAAAAATCAAATGCTCTGCTTTGAAACCTGGGCCTTTAGGTACCTGCAAATGTGAACGGGCATTTTATGTGGTTTCCTCATGTGCAGACACCTCTAACTCCTGCTGACTTCAAGTTCTGTATTTGAACAAGCTGCCTTGCTAGTGATAATGTATGGCCAGGTTCCCCTGAACATACCCTCTTTTGCTGTCTGAAATAACATCTGGGTGAAAAAGAGAAATCTGGCCTTTCATTTGGGACTTGCAGATGCCTGGAGTCCTGGTAGACCTCCAGATGGATCACTGAATCCCCAGAGATCCTCGGCAGATGCACTGCCCCCATTCAGCATACCTGATGCATTTTCAATATACAGGATTTTCTGGCCTTCTTTATAATGTCCAGAAAGTAGGCAAAGCACACTGAGGACACGTCAGTCCCCTCGGCACTGTTGCTGTGTAGTGTACACAACTCAGCTGCTAACAAAGATCTCTTTAGGTGTGAAAATGCCCTTAGAATCCGGTCCAAAATTTTGAAGTCTGGTCCAAAACCTTAAAACCCTCAGCCAAAACACGTTTATAATCGGATGAAGCTTTTTACAGTTTCATCGTTCTCTCATTTCCAGCTGACACGCGAGTGTCACCGAGGCATGAGCTGTGCATGGATCAGCAGCCACACTCATACTTCCCAGATGTGTTTATATGGGATTCAGCTTGTTGGCTTGATCACCAGAAGCTATCAAGGTATTCAAACACATTTCTCCTAGGCATTATACCAAAAGAAGAAGAGGAGAAACCTAATAAAGTGTTCATCTCTGGTTCTCAAATGAAGAGAATACCTTACAGATGCCATAAAGTGTTACAAGAACATAACTGCTTCTGAGCTTTGATGTGTTTTTCAGCTGCTACCAGGGTGGAAAAGGAGTCAACATAGATGTTAATGTTTCTGTTCACAACCTCTTTTGTAATCCTTGTGACGGCCCAGCTTGAAACACAAGGGAGAAGAGGGTGAACAAAAGAAAAGGTGATAACAAGTTGACCTCCAATATTTTATCATGGAAAACAGCCTTTCACAACTGATGTGCGCAGTTATAGGCACACACCTTGGTTCAGTTTTCAGTACGGGTGTCAAGTGTTTTAGGCAACCTGGGTTTCCACTTTCCAACACTCCATTAATTCCAAAGAGCCTGAACACATCTGAAAAGTTTGGTCTCCAAAACACAACAGTGTTATGCCAGGGAAAAATTTTACGTTTCCTTCTTGGTTTCATATCTACTTTTTTATTTGTTTACCTCAATATGATCCCTGCAGTGACTACTATGAGCTTTCTTTTTTATTTGCTTTTCCCTTTCTGATGAGTGATCATCTGGTATTTATGAGAAGGACTATGTGAGATACCAGTTTTAAAAGACATGCAAACAATTGACCTAAATACTTCTAGCTCTGGTGGACAGTCAAGGGTCATAATTTTAGCTTAATTTATTGAAAGGCCTAGTTATGATTAAAACTCTCCTATTTTAAGCACTTCCACTTGACCAGTTCAAATGTAGTAGCAACTTCATCTACAAGAACATCAGATATCAGCACGAGAAATATCTTTGTCAAAAAGCTACAAAAGATGCCGGTCATAAGAAGTTAAATGTTTCCTGAATTCATCTTGGGATATTTCTGTAATTTCCAACTCCCATCACTAAAATGACAAATTTGCACCAATCCGGACCTCAGGAACATGTAAAGGCAGCCCCCTGCACTGGCTGAATCGGTGGGACGTCGACTCAGCAATAAATTACGTAAGGAGCCGTGCACCACAACCCTTCGGTTACATCAAAACGCAGAACTACTGAATACAATCCCGGAACAGAAGACCACAAAAAGGGTAGAGCAGTACCATGTGAAGACAAGTCATGATGAGCATGGAGCAGTGAAACTGAGCTCCTTAAGGAGCACCTTCTCCAAGGCTTAGTGACGCAGGAACGTCCAAAGCATTTCTATTCAGCAAACTGGGCCCTTCTAACAAGCTGAACAAGTCTCCTTGCTTAATTTAGGCAAAATGTTGCCCTGCCTGACAATGGGGAAGCCCCCACCCCCCTATAAATACGAACTTTAGGTAAGCGAAGTATTTTTATGACTTTTGCTATTACTAAGCTAGTGAAGCTTAAAGTATCATAATTACACCGTCCACAGACTTAAAAACGTTTTTTTTTCTTCCTTTTACAACTTGCTACTTGTAATGGAAAAGCAGCTCATGTACATGATAAATAAGGGCAGGTTGGAGGGTTATACAGATTATGCTGCTATCCATGGATGTGTATCATGATTATAAAAAAAGGATTAAAAAGGTATAATGGAAGACATGTGAGTGAGGGGAAGGGATGTGCGCCTGTGAGTGACAGGACAAAAAACGTGTATTCACGAAGTCTTCTGGAGAAGTCTTCTACAACTTATATGGAAAAGTTATCACTTTCTATTGTGTGTTGAACAGCGGATTTAAAGAACAGTCCAAAAACTCTATAAAAGCTTCTCATTTCCTACTAAATTGCAAAGGAGTTTTAGAGTGTTTATAGAGCATGTAAGCTTTCTTCCTTTATTAATTCTAGAGAACATTAAAAGAGTGTGCATATGCACACGTAAAATAATATGAAATACTTATCCACTCAAACACTACTTGGTTTACTTTGTGTTACTTGTTATTTGTTTACGATTCCATTTATTTGCTGCATTGCTTGCATTTATAACCTATTTATCTTCTCAAATTCCAGAACTCTATTAAACCAGATTTAAAAAATTATCCTACCAGAGGGCATAAATGTTTTCGAATGTTAGTATTGCCTCTATTTCCTGTGAAAACCATGTGGTTTTATTCTTCTTTTCCCCACATTTTAAAGCCTGTGTGAATAGTAGTACAGAAGAGCAGAAGCATCAGTGAACAATTCCGTGTTCATACAACATCTGCTTTCTTATGGTTCACTTGAGGTCCAGAACCCACCATCATCCGCCAATATTTTTAGTGGGCTACAAAATGATTCAAGTTAGTAACTTGAGTGGTTAGCAGCAGAGAAAAACTATAAAGCCTCACCAAAAAAATAACAGCTCAACCAAAAAAACCCATAAAAGCCAGGCAGATGTGACAGAGAGGTTATTTTCCTATTAGGTCCAATGTACACCTTTCCAAAAAAACTGATGAGCTCCAACAACAGGTCTAATTTAACTGTTTTCCCAGATGGCTCCTTCTGGGAAGTGGAGTGGAACATTCCCTCGTTTATCCATCTGCCTGGGTTATCACCATTGCCCGAAATACCTTAGTCTTTCCACAATATTACGGATTCCAAGTACGACGTTGAGAAATCTATCTGATTGTAAAGGTTTTCTTTCACCTGCTGTGGCTTTTAAAACTATTCTATAGGTATATAAATACATACTCCAAGATACACAGAATTTACCTGCTGCAATATGTCTAGTCAAAACACTGTAACAAGTCAGGAAAGCGAAAGAGAGCATCAATTTATAGCACAAGAAAAAATGCCATCTGTACCACAGAAATACTCGAGTATAAAACAATACAGAAAGTTAGCATATTTTTAAATTAAGGTATTAACTCAGAATAATCACTGTTTCCTCACTATTTCCCTCTCTTCATAGAGAACACACAATTACATTAAATGTAAGGTTAATAAACTGTTTACTCAAAAGGCACGTTGATAAAAATTTAGAATCATAACAGTATCACTCTAAGAAGCCTGTGTAAAGCAGTGTCAAATCCATTGCCTCACCAGGCTTGGTTCTGTTGCAAATGGCATTATAAATTAATTCAGTTTTCCTAAATATGCCTTGAGGAAACAAAACCACAAATAGCTATTGTAAGTTTTAATATAAAAAAACACAAAAAAAACCCAAAGAACAAAAAAATCTTCTCTTCATTCTTAACTGGAACGCAAGAGCTGTGTTTTTAACAACTGATATTGCTGAATAGGTTATGTACTTAGTCCAAAAATGTCAACTTTTTTTGATGCAGCTTAGTCCCACATACTAGTTTAATACTAGGCTTTCACCTATGCCACACTCCTCTCAGCTCAGCAGTCTTAGGGGGAAAAGAAATAAAAAAAAAAAAGTTGCTAAACTTCATCAACAATGACCTAATGAGCCCAATTAAGTTATGATTTATAATATTCCTCGCTTACACTGTTCTGAGACCAAAATAACATCCCATTTGCTCCATGGCTGCTGGTTGGGTTAAGGTTATCACAGTCGCAGCTGAGAACCAGAATATTCTTCAATACCTCTTGCTGCCCAAGTTACATTTTTTAAAAAGTGCCTTATATTGAGCCAGATTCTGATCTCAGCGGCACTGGTGCCAGCTTAAGCACTTCTGTTGACTCCAGCAGGTTTACTCCAAATACGCTGGCTGCTGCAGGTCAGGATTTGGCCTACTACCGCCTCTGAATTTGGAGGGTTTTTCTCCCCACTGGGAACACAGTGGAGGTTTCTATGCGAACTGTAACGAATCCTACGGCTCTAACCTCCTCCAGGTAACAATCGTCTAGCTTCGCTTAAAACTCAACATGTACGGAGATCTTGGCAATTCATACTGCTGCGACCTGAACGAAAGCAAATGAAATTTATAATCGAGGCTAAATATAGCAGGCATCGGACTAAACCTCAGCACCTCCGAGCACCCAGAGCGGCACGTAATGGCAGCAGCACGGACCAGCCCAGCTCTCGGGCCAGCTGTGCACTCTGACCTGGGCACCCGTCCGCAAACTCTTTTGCATTAAGAATTAAAAACAAGCGTGCTAATTCAAAACAAACAGACATATCCTCCCTCTCTCCTCACTTCTTTCCTTGCGGTGGATGTATAAATGCATACTGATGGCTACTGGGATTTATAGCCTAACTGATTTTGACATTTTTAACTTCAGAATTTGAAACAGTGACTTTCTAGCCCTGGGGCAGGAGTGCAAAATGCTAAAAACTTTGGGACTAGGGAGTATTAATTTAGTCCTTCTGAGCAGCTTGGCTTCAACAATGTTCTAACAAGGGCTCAACGCTCTCCAAAACTCAGCAGTGGACGCCCAAAAACTGCAAGGAATTTTGGATCCAAACCGGAGCTTCATGGCTTTCGTTCTTGTTTGTCACAGGTCAAACTAAGCTCCAAATCTGAACTTGAGGGGAGCAGGGAGAATTCAGGTCTGTGTCTGAATTTACAGCGGGATTAAATCATATTTCATTTCTAGCTTGCAATGCACTTTTTTTTTTTTTTGCGGTTCATGACGTATTTGTATTTTAAGAAAAAAAAATTATGCACAGAGCAAGCGTCCTGGCATCACAAGTCATCAATAAATCTCTTTTCCATAACAACCCACAAGAATTCACTGCAGGACCCAATTGTTAAAACACAAAGCAATGACATTCTATAAGCTTTCAGAAGTATCATTCTAGCCCTTGTGGACTCACTGAATTCTCTAAATGAGTCACCGGCCTCTCAACGGAATTGTCAAAACTTAGGTTAAGCCAGGTTAATTCCCTCCCCCTGTTAATTTAGAAGTCCAGCTGCAGCGCGTGGCTTTCCAGTGAAAAGATCTAAATGCAGAGCCCATTCACCCGCACAGGAAATCTCACGGCGCCCAAAGCTCACCTTTTCCTCAAAGCTAGAGATAAGCCACACTAACAGGAAAAAATGTGATTTCCAAAGCTTCATGGGCCATGTGATGTAAAAATCAATATTCCTCTTACAGGGCTCAAATCATTTGCTGCTGAAGGCCAAAAGACCATATTGAAGCTACTACAGTCGGGGAGCGAGGAAAGGCAGCAGTAAGAAACGGGGCATGAGGAGAGCAGACAATAACCAGAACACGGACAAGGGAGACACCAAAAACAACCCTTCTAACCACAGCAAGCGAGCAGACGTGGCATTTGGGGTTGGGCTCAGGGCTTCAGCTAGGTGGGACATGGAGAGGACATCCCCCCTGCCCTGCACGCTCCCCTCAGTGAGAGGTGAGATGATGGGTACTCATTCTCTCTGTCCAAGGCTACTTGTGACACCTAGAGCTTGCAGCACGGCATCCCGCTTTCACTACCTTGCCTCTAACTAACCACACAGCATCAGCTACACTGGAACCCCCAAAAAGAAAGATTTTCGCTGGGCAGACACAGCATCTCGTACTCTTCATAAAGGGATAAACCATGCTGAATGTAGCTCAAGTTTCTGTACCCCCATCCCTACTCTGCTGGAAGATCATTTGAAGACATCACTGCCTGGTTTGTTAGAAAAAAAACCACCTAAATTTCCAGGCTAAACATTTCATGTTCACTTTGTCCTTAGGAATGGGTTCAACAAACAAAAATCCCAGCAGATCATGCTGTTGATTTCAATGGTCTATACAAATTTTGTCAAAACCAGTAAATTCTCTTTAACCTTCCAACAGCACTACAGTTTTCACCACTGAGAATATATCCTAAGGAGGAAACATTTTGCCTCAGCTGTAATTAATTCTTTTTTTAATAATAAAAGAAAAAACTAATAGATTTTTTTTAAAAGGAAAAGATGGAAAAAAGAAAAAAAGGAAAAGGAAAAAGGAAAAAAGGAAGAAGGAAAACAAATAGTTTATCTTAGTACTTCTGTAGAGAAATATTTAATTGAGGATTTTGGACTTCACTAAAAAAAAGTAGTTTTCAAGATTGCAGATAAAAGCTAAACAGCCTGATGGAAAAATAAGAAGAAACTGAAATAAGTTTGTGTGTTTGTGTTTTTTTTTTTTTAAGAGAAAATACAAATGATTTTAAAGTGATCCCATGGTATTTTTAACAGCTGGAACTGATAATGCTGACATCAGCCATAATTCTACTATATTTAGGTTTGTATCTATCAAAGTCAACATGACTTTTCCATGAGATAGACAGACAGAGATACAGGCTGATAGACAGATGGATAGATACATAAAAAGAAAAAGGAAAAATATCATTAGGAAAGAGAACATTTTCTTGTCTGTTCTTTCAGTGTGGGGTGTTTT